GGGTCCGTAGTGTAACTCAGAGGTCAGTAGTAAGTAATGCAGAGTGCAGAGGTCAGTAGTATATACTCCAGAGTTCAGAGGTCAATATCATGTACTGCAGAGTTCAGATGTCAGTAGTATGTAATGCAGAGCGTGGAGGTCAGGAGTAAGTAACAAAGAGTGCAGGGGTCAGCAGTATATAATGCAGAGTGGACAGGACAGGAGGTAACGCAGACTGCAGAGGTCAGTTATAAGTTATCCCCCCTCCTTTTGTAAAGTTCACTCACCAGACCTCAGATGCAGCAGCGCCAGACAATGTGTGAGAAAAGTCCTGCAAGTTCTCCCCTCGCCTGTATCATATGAGCCGAGGAGGAGACTAGGACTTCTCTCTGCTCTGGAATACCTATTGCTGCTCTAATCTAAAGTCTGAGAGGCGAGGACCACTTCGGAAAGAGGGCGTCACGGTGGGGTTGCGATCTACCCAACACGTGGCCTCATTCAGTAGATGAACCCTTTCTTTTTAGAACAATTGTAAACTCAATCACTAAAATCTCATATAAACTTTAACATGTTAATGTAATTTAAAAAGCAATTTTTGGTATGTGTAAACCTTCAGCTTTGCAAAAGTCCTTGTTCAGAAACTTCCTGTTGTAGGGTGACAACATTCTGTCACTGTCTCCTTATTGTTCTCCTGAGTTGTCATCCTTGTCAATAATACTTCCAATGGAGACTACAAGTAGTCTTTTAACAAACCATAATTATCCAGTCATGGTTCACCATTATCACCATCAAGAAACTTATCCTACAAAATGCTGAGCAGCCTTAACTGTAGTGCATGTAGACCGGAAGTGGTTACAAAGAGGCTGCAGGTCATCAGCAATCCTGAGATGCAGCAAAGGATGAAAAACAATTGTATTTTAAAAATAACATTTGTTTATGATGCACAGTGCTTTAGCAAAGGGAATACCATATATTTAGGGTTTACATCTACGTGTTTTGTTCCTTTTTAAACAGGTATGTTATTGTAAGATTTGCAATATTAATTCTGAAAACACCGCATATTCATTTTCTAGCTGCGTAATGTTTTCAAACCGAAATATTTAGTTGTGGTTCTCTTAGCCTGCATGTTTAATGAAATCACTTTTTCATGTTTAGATGTACACAAGGGAAAATCCAATAATACTTTGCTATTGTCAGTGTGAAAATATTTCTCTGTGTGAATATAATTTATTTTGCCATTTCTTATATCAAACAAATTTTAAACCTGAATAATGTGGGTAGCAATTACAATATAATTGCTTTTGTTTGCTTTGGTATGTTGTGGTTTATGGTCAAAATTAAATAAGGTTTTTTTTTTTTTTTTTTAATAAGGCCAAAAACAATATGCATTCTGCAGTAATCTATAAGAGCCCATCAGTAGTCATCTTTTATTTTTCTTAATGATTATCATCATCATTATTATGTGCTTTTTTTTATTACAAAAACCTTAAAGGAGAACTATGGGGTCAAGGCTTTTCCCCATAGTTCTCCTTAGGGTAACGGGAGGACACAAACTAGCATCCTCCTTTCACCCTAGGCTCAGTATACCGCAAGCTACAGCTCGCTGTATACTGATATGCTGCAGCTGAAGCGGATCCCGACAATTATGTCTGGATCCGCCCAGCTGCGTGAGTGACAGCTGGCTCTGCCTGTCTAGAGGCAGAGCCAGCTATACCCGCCCCCTCCCCCATCCGATCCGCCAGTCAGTGCTGGCGGATCGGAGGGGGGAATTCAGCCCCTCCCCTGTCACAGCAGAGGGCTGTGACAGGATCGAGAGGTGAGCGAACGCTGGTATGTGTTCGCTCACCTCCCGATCTACTGAACCGACCTGTGACAGTCTCATTGTCACAGGTCGGCTAGAACTATGAGGTGAGTGAAAAGCACTCACCTCATAGTTCTCCTTTAATGAATGTTAAATGATAATGAAACTGAATGCGATCTTAAAGCCACACTGCTAGGAAAAAAAGAAAATTGAAAAAATTAACTTATACTCATCTTGCCAGAGTTCACTCGCCACTTTTTTCCCTGTTACAACAATATCTGACACTTTTGGGTATGTGAGAACATGTGATCTCCTCTCCAGTGGCAATGCTCGGCTTAGCAGCCAATTGCTAGGCCTAAATACTGTCAAATGACTGAGGGAGTGACGTCACCACTCCACCTAGTTGCGGGCACCAGTAATTTCTAGGGATGCACCGAAATTTCGACCGCCAAAACATATTAGCCGAAAATGTCTATTTGAGCAAAATGGCGAAAGTGCCCTCTTTCGGCCAAAATTGCTGTGCATCTATGGTTTCTCTCCTCCTCCTTTCTCACAGAGGGAACACAGTGCAGCATGCAGCAGGGAGGAGAGAAACTGTCAGGAGGTCGAGTGGCGCGGGGAGGAGAGTGCTGTCATCTGTGTGTCACAGGAAGCTAAGCTCTCCTCCGCGCACCGCCCCTTTCAACCTCCTGTGACAGATCAGGATGGAAAGCAGTGTGGGGATGGAGACAGATGAGGGGGAGGAGTCAGCTGTCTATATAGACCGAGCTCTCCTCCCGCACCACCCTCTCAGCCTCCTGTGACAGCCGATCCAGGATGTAAAGCGGTATACAAATAGTCAGCAAACAGTGATCACCGAACGTTTGTAAATGACTGGACATAGTATGAGCTCCTATGTACCAGTTTCGTATGAATAGGAAGTGATCTTCATCACTTCCTGTTCATTCATGATCGTGTACGTAGTAAAAATACCATCTCCACAATCTAGGAATGAACAGGAACAATCAGTATAGAGGCTTCTGTTCATTCATAACAGGGGATGCAGAAAAAGAGATTGAGGACTCTGTTTCCTCAATCTCTTTTTCTATTTTAAAAGGGAAATATCAGGGGTCTCTTTAGAAGAAGTCCCCAGCAGTAAAGTAAAAAAATAAAGATATTTAATATAAATAAATGAAATATGAAAAAATGTAAAAGTTTAAAAAAAGAAAATATATTGAATTTTTGTTTAAACGGTTAGAAAAAATTATAATTTTGGTTTCGGCATGACATTTTTTATTTTCGTTTTAAAATTTCATTTTGGTGCACCTATAGTAATTCCAATACCAGCTGCAGTGTAGGAAGGAGCAGCAAGAGAAAGTGGGCAAGGTGAATATAAGGGGGTCAGTAGGGGGGCCATTTAGATACTGTGACTTTTCCCTGCACCGGCAAGAGTGAAAGTGTCTTGTTGTTTGTACTTACCAGCACCATCTCTGTTGAATCTCATCTTTACTCTCTTGCATAGCTGCACCCAGCACTAGAATCTTCTTCTCATCGGCAGCTGCTTATCTAGTGTGTCCCTTCAGAATTGCAAGGACATTCTAGTGAAGTGTTGGTGGGCTGGCATAGGACAATGCAAACATCTTGCACATGTGGATGTGTTGAATGCTTAAACTTCCAACAATGAGTGTAGATTTGCATGAGAGCAAAGACTGGATTTATGAGAGTCTCTGAACACAGTGCCACCTTAACGCACTTCTAGTAAACAAATGGGGCAAATTGGTCCTATTGGCCTACTGGTTACAAAGAGGGACAAGGGTCAAGCTACTTAAAGAGCTGTTTGGATAGCTAAAACCTAACGAAGGCCTTTGTACTCAACAGAATTTCAAAAACTGTAGTTTATATAAAAGGTAACAGATCCACAAGATTTATTTTTGGCATTTATTTTATGAAGACACTATTTATTAACTTACTATGGATTCAGTTTAATTTCTAACTATTTCTTTGTTGTCATTTCAGATTTTTAGACATTTGGAAGGACATCTGTTTTAGCCATGACCATGCTTGGATTAGGCAAAGTATTTCCCTTTCCTGCTGGATCTCACCTGCTCTCCCTTGTGCCTCTTTTGTGTCATGTGGGAACAATTTATGGTGAAACTACAGTGGCTCCAGAGACAGGAAATAGCTCTGCTAACTGTGAAGGATCCTATATTTGCAAGGAAGGTGTCATCTTACCAATTTGGGAACCACAGAATCCATCGTATGGCGATAAAATTGCGAGAGCTACAGTGTATTTTGTTGCCATGGTCTACATGTTCCTAGGGGTATCTATTGTTGCTGATCGTTTTATGTCCTCTATTGAAGTCATTACATCACAAGAAAAAGAGATAACCATCAAGAAAGCCAATGGTGAAACCACAAAGACAACAGTGAGGATATGGAATGAGACTGTTTCCAACTTGACCCTTATGGCTCTTGGCTCCTCCGCTCCTGAAATTCTTCTTTCTGTGATTGAAGTCTGTGGACATAATTTTCAGGCTGGGGACCTTGGTCCTAGTACCATCGTAGGCAGTGCTGCATTTAATATGTTCATAATCATTGCTCTCTGTGTCTATGTCGTTCCTGATGGGGAAATAAGGAAGATAAAACATCTCAGAGTCTTTTTCGTCACTGCTGCCTGGAGCATTTTTGCCTACGCTTGGCTCTATATGATCTTGTCTGTTATTTCCCCTGGTGTTGTTGAGGTCTGGGAAAGTTTGCTCACTTTTTTCTTCTTTCCAATTTGTGTCGTGTTTGCTTGGGTCGCAGACCGGCGGTTGTTGTTTTACAAGTATGTCTACAAAAGGTACCGTGCAGGAAAACAAAGAGGAATGATCATCGAGACAGAAGGCGATAGACCATCATCCAAAGCAGACATTGAGATGGATGGGAAGGTTCTCAACTCCCACACAGAAAACTTTCTTGATGGCTCATTAGTTCTGGAAGTTGATGAGAAGGACCATGATGATGATGAAGCCAGAAGGGATATGGCAAGGATCCTGAAGGAGCTGAAGCAAAAACACCCTGAGAAAGAAATGGAACAGTTGATTGAGTTGGCTAACTATCAAGTCTTGAGTCAACAACAAAAAAGCAGAGCATTTTATCGCATCCAGGCCACCCGTTTGATGACTGGTGCTGGCAATATATTAAAGAGACATGCAGCAGATCAAGCTAGAAAAGCGGTCAGCATGCAAGAGGTTAACAATGAAGTTATAGAAAATGATCCTGTCAGCAAGATTTACTTTGAGCAGTCCACTTACCAGTGCTTAGAGAACTGTGGAACAGTAGCTCTGACCATTGTTCGTAGAGGAGGTGATTTGACCAACACAGTATTTGTAGATTTTAGAACAGAAGATGGGACTGCCAATGCAGGCTCAGATTATGAATTTACTGAAGGGACTGTTGTTTTCAAACCTGGAGAGACCCAGAAAGAGGTCAGGGTTGGCATTATTGATGATGATATTTTTGAAGAAGATGAAAACTTCCTGGTCCACCTCAGCAATATTCGCGTTAACTCTGAGACAACAGAGGTGAACCTTGAATCTAATCATGTGACACCCCTTGCATCCCTTGGATCACCCTCTACAACCACAGTTACCATCTTTGATGATGATCATGCAGGCATCTTTACATTTGAGGAGGCAGTTACTCATATCAGTGAGAGCATTGGCACTATGGAAGTGAAAGTGTTGAGAACATCTGGAGCTCGAGGAACTGTTATTGTACCTTATAAAACTATTGAGGGCACCGCAAGAGGTGGAGGAGAAGACTTTGAGGATACATGTGGCCAGCTGGAGTTCCAAAATGATGAGATTGTGTAAGTACAACAGTCAAATTAAATCATTTTTAGAATTCTTATGCTATGAAACATGTTTGTTTAACTACAATGCTAGCAAACCATTTAGGATTAGACATGGTATTGTTTTAAGTTACATTAAATTAATGGATTCAAGTGTAAAATTAAGTTTAATCAAATGGTGTATAATTGCATTTTCTTTTGAGAAACAGGTTTGTTCAGCAGAATCTCAGGAATATTCTCATACTGTGAAACAGTTAACTGAAGTCAGTTTTATAGGTTTTTTTTTCATTCTGCCATACTGTGTATAATGTAATGAAGTCATTTGTTTCTTTTATACTATAACTTTATTTTAGATTGAAGTTGCAGGACACGTCTTCAAAAGTCTTATACCATAAAGTTTAGCATCTGACAGATCTTCAGCTTTTCATAGTCACGATTGACAATGCCCTACTCCCTCCGCTCTTTCATCATTTCCTATTTTCCAGCCAGCTAAGGGCTTGTTCACACCAGTAGCATTGGGCAACGCAAGAACAAGGTATTTTGCCTTGTGTCCTTTCGTTTCAGTTCACACCAATGCACTGTAAAAAAATAAATATATATCAGATGTTGCCTTTGTGCGCAGCGCGGAGCTTTCCAACGCACTGTAACATATCGCAATGTGCTGTGGGGCATAAGAATAAAATTGAGTTGGGAGAAAAAAAGAGAAACAAATTACAGCAGTTCATGTTTACAACGTATTGCAGTACAGGACGCTTTACACTGCACACCAACATGCATGTGCTTCCCGGCACACCAAAGTGCTGTGGTGTGAATAGGCCCTAAAACAATTTGGTAGGTGTATCAGAATTCGGGAACCACCTATTCTAAACACATTTAACCCTACCTCAAGAGCTTTTTTTTAGTTATTTATATGATGGACAGTTGGTTGGTAGCCCAGAAGTTTATTGTCCAAGTACTGTTTGGATTATATTGCATTCTTCCCCAAAACCGATAAGGTGACAGAGCATAGCACAATAAAAATGGCGTCCTTACTTTATTGATTTTTTTGTCTACTCTATGATAAGTAAATGAGACAAAATGTCTAGATTCACTCTTCTACACGATTTTAAATAAATGTTACCCCCACAAAATATTATTAAAAGGGTTATTAAACCCTCTGGTTTTTTTTGCATGCATCTACTGCTTGGCAAGCAGTAGATATATGCAAAAAGTGTAAAAAAAAACGCTTTGAAAAGGGTTAATACGTACCTGTGTCTTCCCCACAAGCTCCCGTCCGAAAATGTGAAAATTCTCGGGAGGCAGCAGAGCATCTTGGGGCGCGCGCATGCTCAGTTCACATTTTCGGCCGGGACGCGAGGAGAAACACAAGGTAAATCTATGGGCGGCGTGCACCCGCGTGCAGACACCGTGGGACAGGAAGTGCCAGCAAGGACAGAGGAGTCAGCGCTGAATCGGAGACCCGCAGCAGCCCTAGAGAGACAGATGAAAAGGACAGGAAAGAAGAAGAAGATCGGATTAAGGGCTTGTTCACACATTTTTCTGGTCCAGATCTGGAGCAGATCTGCAGACGCGGTGCTATGCGTGCAGTGCGTTATGAAGCGATTTTACCGCCTTCCAGGGGGAAAAATGTAGTGGGGCTGTCAGTATGTTAGCTGCAGTGCGGTGCGTTTTCGGCGCGTTTTGATGCGTTCATGCATTTCCAGACCGTATCCGGACCGGACAAAATGTGACATGCAGTATCTTCTCTGTCCGGACCGGAACGGACTGCGCATGTGAGAACTGTAGCCCATAACACATAGAGATACATTTTGGGTGTAGGAGCGCACGGTTCTGGTCCGGACACAATCCGGACGTCGTGTGAGCAAGCCCTAAGAAACATCATTTAAGGTAAGTGCTTTAATGAACATTAGGGGGAGGGAAAATTATTTGTGACTTTAATGTCACTTTAAACAGTTCCTCTTCATTATATATTGTCACATTGAAGAAAATGCTTACCCTCTACAGGCCATGGAAATAAACAGCTGCAGTCAATGTAGAGTTTTCATAGTATTTACAACTGATAATGAATCTTTCATGGTGTTAAGTGGTAGTTTAGGTATATCCCCAGGTATTATCTTTCTATTGCTCAGTGTGTCCTCTTGTACATACAAACCACTTGTAAGTCATACACTAATTGTAAGCACCAGCACTGGGTTTCTGATTTCTTACAGGTTAGTGAGCACATGCTGCCATGCTGTTGCTTAGAGGTGGAATTTGAAAAATAATTATTTATTAAAAGCCATTCCTTACGCAATGGAAAAGGGAATGTTATATTCACAATGAAGACAGTGAAGTTAACACTTAGCTTGATGTGTTTAGCCGTCGGAGGCATTCATTGCAAAAATCTTTTGGATGGTTTTTGAGGAACTCTGTTATGAAAATAATAAGCGTGCAAGCAAGAGTAGCTCCAAAAATACGCATTGCTCATGACATTTTGTGGGTGGTACAAGTATTTAAAGTGGAACACCGGCTGAAATGTTTGTTTAGGATAAGGTGTGGAAGCATTAGAACCTCTTATGACTTTTTATAAAAGGGGCCCCTATTTTCTTGTCCAGGGCCCTGGGTAGGGAGATTTCCCCTTTACCAAACTTTTGCCAAGAGAAACACGAGGGCTGTCAATGCTTACCTTGCCTGGAATGCCATTTGCCTGGCTTTCATATTGACCTGGTGGCTCCAAAATCGAAGTCACTGACCCAAAACAAGTATGCAGATCAAGAGTATTGACTTAACTCTGACTTCATTGGTTGCATGCTTGTCCAGGTCAGTGACCTGGCCTGGACAGACTACTGACCTTGAAAATAATGACAGCCAAAAGTAAAGTAGCATTTTCAGAAAGTCGTCAGCAATGGCAATCTACATATCTCTCTCACAGTCTCACTACAGGTTTTTTTGGGATCACAGGACTGGAAGAGAAGGAAGATCACTCCAACCGGGATTTCATAGCAGTTACAGATGCTCAGAACTTATGATTTTATTCCTCTCCCACTTGTTAGTTAGGCAAGAAGTAAGGGCAAATCTCCCCAAAAGGACAAATGAAACCTGAATGAAGTTTTAACCCATTCACAGCCTATCCAATCTTAAGAGAAAATGTTTTGGTTGGATTTCCAGTGTAACGGGGGAGTTACAGGGCTGCACTATGATGAGAAGTCCCCTACCCTCTGCCTGCATATGCTTTACAATGTATCAACAGCACACACATTTCTCGAAGAAGCTTAGGTAATGTTTTGTAGAAGCTCGTTAAGGGAGATGCGGCCCTCTCAATCATCATTACAACTGTATAATGCAAATAAGACAAAGCAAGTAGATATCACAAATGTGTGTATCACTAATTGATGCTGATTACTGTTCATCTGATGCTTTCTCTACTTGGTTATGTGATTTGTTGATCAGATGTAAGTATGTATTTGGCTAGGATTCCCAATAGTGATGTGACCTAACCGAGCACTGGCACCAATGATAGGGGGTGACATTGTACAAAAGTACAACTGACATTGTACTCTTTAATTGGCAGAGGTGTTAGATGTTAATTTGGTAGAATGGATGATGACAGTATGTTATTGTCACTGCTCCTCGCAGTGTTTTAATGTCATAGCTGAATAGGAGCTGTGAATTTAGGTGTCTGATGACCTGCCATAGGTGCAGATGATATAGTTCTGAAAATTTGCAAAAGAGCAGTCCTTTACATTGGTCTCAGAGGCGTTGGCCTCTGACATACTTTATGCAGTAGTTAGAAATCATAAAATCCAGGTCAGGATTTGAACTTGCAGCCTTGGCAACCTTTATGTCAACAGGCAGCTCTTGTGTCTTTCATCACTAAAAATCTGTCCATTTATGGCTGCTGACAGACAGCAAAAATCTGTAGGGCATCAAGCAAATTGTTAAAAATTAGAGCCTTTCCCATCAGCCAGTCAACAACGCTCAGTTAGTGCAGCAGTAAATAATTTGGCATTCAGCAGCAGGTGGATGGGGGGGATCATACTGGACCATCTGCGGTAGGCTGGTAGATGTTATCCGAGATGTTTCAACATAAAATCCTTAATTGGGCAAACTGTCACGTAGACCCTGAGTTCTGGCAATGTCTACCCAGATGCTGTCAGTTTTTAACAACATGACAAAGACTATTTGTGACATTCAAAATATTGAGGTTTGCTATTTTGCTGAGACCACACAAGATATGAAGACAATAGTGGCATTCGCTTGAAAAGTACAGTGTCCCAGACTTGTTCCTCTTCTTGCTTTTTTCTTATTTCTACGGCCAATACATTTCTGTTCTAAGAATTCACAATGGTTGCACAGTTTTCTTTCCATTACACCAAACTGTGACTTCTACATTCACATGGAGATCAACTGAAATCTTTTTTATGTTCATCTAATAAACCTCAACGCAACTCAGTTTCTGTGATGCTTGTTATTTTATCTTTATTACATTTGTCTGTCATTATGCCCATTCTTTCTCTGTGATTTACTTGTGTTCAAAATTTAAAGAGAAATATTAAGACTGCCATTGCTGATCATGGTCTCAAAATGCCTGGCTATATCAGGCTTTGTTACACAACTACTTTTGTACACAAAAGTGGCCACTTTGGCCAAAATGTTAACTGTATTAAAGGATCATTAAAAAGCTGGGTGTTATATGTGGCGGGTGGCTGCAAGTATGAAAATCTTACATTGTAGCATGCCGCCTCCTGCACACAATGCTGAGCTTCTGGCCACTGAAGAGAAGGGGAGATGTGACTCGAGCAGTACAGCTCTCCGGTCACATCACTTGCCCCTCCTCACTGTCCTCCATTCATAACATGTCTTACTCTATACAAAGCTACAAAATAGGGTTTGGCTTTATTTCTACTTTAAAAATGACTCTGGCAAAACGACCACTACACTGCAAGGGTTAAAGTGACATTAAACCCTCAGATTTTTTAACATAAAACAATACTGTAATGTGCGCCTTACTGTAATCCATGGTAGTTTCCCTTCTCTTT